TATACATACTCAAATGAATTGGTATGGCTATAACCATATAGCCAAAATGAGTCAGAAGACTGAAATAAGAGGTTGTTCGTGCGCTTGCGCGTGCCTCAAAAGAGGGCTTGCAATGACTTACAAAGATACATAACAGCTACAAGTGTATGCACTACTTGCTTTATGCAAGCACTATATAGGATAAATCACTGTACAGGATTTACCCTATTATACTTTATCGACACTATTTGATAGGTGAAAAAAATAAATAGTCTATAAACAAAGCATCAGGCTGTCTTTGAGTTCACATGAACAACGGTTAAAGTTACTCGTCGTCAGGCTACAGAAGAATACCATAATTCCTCCGTTCAATTAGGCCTAAGACATCGAGAGTCACGCAGACCTATAACAACCCAGCCACAACACATAATTGCGAATAACATGCCTTACCTTAACACAGAATCGACCACAGAGTCCAGCGTTTATATTTTTTCTACGAATCTTTGAGTTAACGTACTAAACATGAGTGGAATTTGCAACGCAGCGCCCCCACACCTTGATGCTCATGACAAGAATAGCATGTAGGCTATAGTTATCTTTACTGAAGTGAATTACGTTTAAATCACCGTCATGCATGAATGACTGATATTTTTGCAATTTTATACATAATAATCCACGATGATCACATTACACAAAACTGAAATTGCACGTCAAAAATAACACATTGTCAATATTTTTTGAGACCCCCCAAAATTTCACAAATCACGTTTTCAGGGGAGCCCATGTCTTATTAAGGGGAGCCGAGCTCCCCCGTAGTTCACACCCTGCTTTTGAGCCTAAAATGTGTTCATTGTTAGTGTTGTTTACTATAGAATCATAGCAATGCTTTCAGATCCACTGTTTCAGTAACGTGACAAAAGTGTTTTACTGTTGTTAAGTGTTTTGTTTTTTTTCTTTTGCCAGTGTCAGTTTTTGTGTTTTCCTCATTATTTCCCTTATATTCCTGCCTTCATCTTAATGCATGATCACAATATCTGTATTTCTTTATATCCTTGTCCATCAGGTGTCAGGATGAAGGTGGTAACCTGTGAGATTGCCTGGCATAATAAGGAGCCGGTGTACAGTCTAGATTTCCAGCAGAGCGGTGAGGGAAAGATAGAGCGGCTTGCT